GACCCCCACCCCCCCTCCCCCTCACTCCCCAAAGGGGGACAACGGCTTAAAGGGGAACTTCCCCTTTTGGGTGGAGCTTCACTTTAACCGACCAAATCAAAATCCCAGGAGTTTAATCGACTTGTTGCTATACTCTGATTAAAAAGTATTCCTTTAATTTTTTGAGCAGTATATATAGTTTGTGTAGTGTACCCCAGAAGATGTAACCTCTCTGCTTATGCTGAGCTCAAAATTATAACTCTTTGAGGTAATACAATGCACATCTATCAGATATACCTTTCAAGTGAGCCTGAATTATATCTCTTCGTTATACTGGACATGAAGAATTCAACATATTACCTCTAAATCTTTAGAGAAATGTACATTTATGCTAGAACATGGATAGCACTATGTTGAGTGTTAATTTCACCGACTACTTTATTTCAGTGAAAACAAAATGATTAATATTAATCGGAAGCTAACATTTAATAAACATATCATTTACATAAGTAGGAAGTATCTACCCAATGTTTATAATATTTGACCCTTCTCAACCAAAAAGGAAAACTCATGTGAACCAAGCAGCTCCATTACAGCTTACAGCTCAACCATTAAACCTTGTATGACAGTTTGAATGTGTTTAAACACCCAGCCATTCTCTCACATCTAAATCCAACTTTACATTTAAAATGATCATTCAGTTTTCCTATGCGATTGTTGTTGTTTCATTGAGATAACCCCATATAAGGAGTGTCTGCTTAATTCATAAACCTAAATGTTCATCAGAAACATTGTGCATGTAAGCAAGATGTTTTTCCAGTTTGATAGTCTTACCATCGTCTTATGTCTGTGGCTTGCCTAAAGCTGCCAAAAACAGTGGATGATGCCTGGCTACCAGATGATCTTTATAGCAAGATCTCCATAAAACTAAGCTAATTCATATTAGATGAACGTGTACATTTTGTGTATGCAGGCACAGGTATTTCTAGGAGAAACAATAGTAATGAGTGATAGATTTTCTCAGCAAAAAAAGTTAATTGAATGATCAAGGAATGGGAAAAAAAAACCCCAACAACCCCCACAGGGACCCACAATGCACCCCTCCATCTAGCGGAGGGGAGCATTGCGGGTCTCTGTGGGAGTTGTTGGGGGGTTGGGAGTGTTTGGTGGGGTGGGTTGTGTCAGGGGTTGGTTTTTGGAGGGTTCGGGGTAGGTTAGTCCCAGTAGACTATTTCATCTCTTGGTCCTCTGTTATGTGGGATTGCCATGTCTCTGATGGATTATTACTGTTTATGGTGCATAATAAAATGCATTTAAGGTTAGCTAATTAGGTGTGCAGTCTTTTTTCTTCCCTTTCTTTTGTTTTTGAAAGTAAGTAAACTAGCAGCAGTCCAGGGAACCTACTCTGTTATTGAAAGGGTGTAACCAATCAAACATTCTGGAACTACAGCCAATTAGGAAAGATTTGCACTTTGATAGGTTGCAGTCTCAATGACAGAGTACAGGCACTGAACTGCAGGACTGCTGCTAGTTTGTTTTGGCTGTCATATTTCTGGGTAACTAGAAGTCCAGCTGCAGACTCCACCCCACTGCAGAGTGTGTATAGCAGTGTCAGTGCTGTTACGATTGGGATGGTACAGATATTTCTGCACCCCCTTTCTCTGCTATAGCTTGCAACACCCTAAGTGGCTGCCTTTTCTATCTCAGGGTCAGTCCATCCCTGCCTAACATTATGAAAAAAGTTTAAAAGTCACATCTGTAAAAGATTCCAAATGTTGTTCTGAACTTTAAATCCCGGTTCACTCTGATGTGAATTCTATGCATATTAGATCCGATCCGAAAGGCATAGATTCACATGTCATCTGAATAAACATTGTTTGCTATGAAAGCTGTTCACATCTTTGCAGTGCACTTCTGATCCGATTACTGGCTAAATCCTGCCGCCTCCACCTCCGGAACATTTCCAAAATCCGCCCCTTTCTGACCAATGACACTGCAAAACAACTTATCCACGCCTTGGTTTTATTCCGCCTTGATTACTGAAACTCCCTCCTCACTGGTCTAACCATTACACAGGTTATCCCCCCTTCAGTCTATTATGAATGCTGCTGCTAGACTCATACACCTTATCAACCGATCAGTGACTGCTGCCCCTCTCTGCCAATCCCTTCATTGGCTTCCACTAACCCAACGTATAAAATTCAAAATACTAACCACAGCTTACAAAGCCATCCACAACACTGCCCCTAGCTACATCACCAACCTCATCCGCAGATACCACCCAAATTGCCCACTCCGCTCCATCCAAGATATCTTCCTCTCTAGCTCCCTCATCACCCGCTCCCACACTCGCCTCCAGGACTTCTCCAGAGCCTCTCCCATCCTCTGGAACTCCCTACCACAGTATGTCCGGTCAGCCCCCACCCTGTCTGTTTTTAGGGGATCTTTGAAAACTCACTTATTCAGAGAAGCCTACCCCATCTCCACCTAAGAATTGTACTTGAATCACCTCCCCCAGATCATCCCCCGCAGCTATCACCTTTTGTATCACCTCCCCCTTTCTTTAGCTTGTAAGTTCCACGAGAAGGGCCTTCATATTCCTTCTGTACTGAAATGTATTGTAATTGTACTGTCTCCCTTATATTGTAAAGCACTGCGCAAACTATTGGCGCTATATAAATCCTGTATAATAATAATAATTTAAAAAGGCTCCTGTGCGAGTTTAGTGTGAGTTTAGTGGGATTTTTATCTTCAGCTATGCCAAATCCCCTCAAAAATCACATTAGTTTTGCTTTAGAGTCGCAACTGCCACTACAGAAATCGCACAGTGAAATTGCATCAGGTTTGCACCACATCAGTGTGAACCGAGAAACAACACTTTCAGAATTGTCAATCTCTTAGGTGCCCCACAGTGCTTACTGGTTCCTCCTTCTGACCTTCCTTTACAGGGTACAGTAATTATGTGGAAGTCAGAGGGAGGAACCAGTGAGAGTTGCAGGGGACCTAGGAAAATTACATTCCCAAAGGTGTAAGTTGCAGTGTGGACTTTGCCAGAAAATTTCTCAGAATTGGAATATATATAATCTCCTTTCTTCTTTCACAGGTATGTTTTCTGTAGTAACAGGGTTGCTGTAAACCTAGACATAGACAGTCAAGTATCTTCTTGTGAGGCATCTCCCCATCTTTTTAAACACATAGCTACTGCTCAAGAACCCACCATGACCTTGTCTCTGGTTGCTGGTTATTAGGTAGGCCATAGATGATGCAGTTTTAAAGAAAATTGTTCAATTCCCCCATCAACAGATTTAGTGTTGATGGGGGAATCCCTCTCACTAAGCTATTGTGACCTCCTGGCGGGGGACCTGCAGAGCCATCCCTGCAGAGAGAACACAGTGATTATTGCTTGTGGCTATAGCCTCTGGCAATAAACGCATGCTAGAAATCCGGCATGCTAGTTGTACCCATGCCAATCAATGGATTGACCAAGGTACAATCAGCCTACCCATACATGGATGAAATCTTGGCAGGTTCAGCAGGAACCAGTAGATTTGAACCATCTATGGCCAGCTTTAGTGGGACAAATCAAAACCAGCTTTCTATACAGGCAAAGATCATATTGATTGATTGTTGTGCTAGAACAGTCAAGTCTAAAGATAACTGCAGGCAATAATGATTTAAAAGATTGTACAAACATACATGTTTTCAATGGGGGAATGTGCATGCTTTTTTTGTACACACTACAAAATATCGCTGCTGCTGGCCTTTCTTGGGTGTAAATAATAGCAATTAGCTTGAAAAAAGTCCAAACGATCAACTTTTTCTCCAAGAAGGTTTGGACAGGAAATGTCTGCCACAACCAGGGAGGATATTCAGGCACACAAACATTCCAAAATCAGATTTTAAATAAGTGGGATATGGAGAGGTTCTTTGATTTTTTTTAAGCTCCTTAATGAGTTGATCTTTTTCTAGATAACCTATGAAGTAATATATAGGTCAGTATGTTTCTTCTGGCATCCTTGTCCAGTCAGATCTGATCTTTTTCTATCACATACATTGAAGGCTTAAGACTGCATAGCTCTTCATATGCCATTCTAATTTGCCTAATGTTGGTCAAACTGGCTAACATCATCAGATCACTGAGTTCAGTTCTGAAAACACTGCTATGAGCCACTTCAGCACAATACAATACAGCCAGGTGTAGAATTTGTTTATTTGGGTACAAGAACATATTTGCAGATTTGTCAAGGAAATTACATTACAAAATAGTATGAAAGTAAAACTCATTGTGCACTTATGTTGCACAGATTTTTTCAGGGCCTGATTACGAAAAATTACATTTAGAACAAAGTAATTGATTGCCAACAAAATATTTTTTATAGGAAAACACATTTGTGAGGCAATGATAATAACCTACCTAGATACAGTTGATGGTATGAGTGGTATTTTGTTTCTAGTACATGAGTGGAGAATGAAAAGAATCTGATTGTTCCCTACGGGTAATGGTAACAGTTATTTTGATTGTAAGGGCCTGTGTGTGAAAGGATGGACAACCAAATAATAATTTTCTTTTTGAAGTCAGAAATTATTGGAAATTCATGGTTGTGAAATGTTGTCAGGCTCTGTTGTGGCCAGTATATTTTGTTGTATGTGGAGGCTTTGAGTTTAGGGTATACGTTTCCATGGGTCTATCCTCTGTTGTCATGTAGACTAGAGGTGTTAAAACGATTTGGGCAAGGCACTGTGCTATTGAGAGAACCAAATGTGGTCTCCAATTGATTACAGAAAAATGAATGGTCTTGTATGCTGGGGACCCCAGCTATAGCTTATGCATTTTTAGACACAGTGGTCACCAAAATAAGGTGTTATGACAATGATGGCATCAGTAAGAATAAGACAGTGTGTGATAAGAGTATGCACTAATTACAACAGGATTGAATGAATAAGATTTTACAATCAGTAGCAAAGCTGGATTTTCCACAAAATCAGTCCACATTGTTATTTTGATAGGCTTTACATCGCTTCTATTTCTTAACCTTGCCCTGGGCAGCCACTGCCTCCATAGCCTTTTTCACAGTCTCCTCGTCTCCAAGGAAAGCCATGGGTTTAAGAGGTTTTAAATTGTCATCCAGCTCATATACAATGGGGATTCCAGTGGGGAGATTTAGTTCCATGATGGCAGCATCAGACATTCCTGTAAAGAGATATGCAAATATGATGCAGATTTGATAACAGAAGTCACCAAAAAATATTCTCACACAGGAACAGTTTTTTTTATAAATTACATTAGGCACAGAGGTGGGTCTACTATACAACATCAAAAACAATTGTTTACTTCATTCTTCAAAAGTGATGATGTGAATGTTGCTGTAACCTCTAGCAGTGAACACTTTCTATGATAACTTTAAAGGCCACCTCAAGTAAAAAAATAAGTTATGGATAGAGTGAAACCTCTGCCACATTTTTCTTGTTCAATGTGTTTATTGGTTTTATATTCACAGCAGTAAATACAAGATAGCACAGTGTGGAAAAAAGGAGGGTCAACTGTGGCACAAATGAAATAAAGGATTCAGTATACACTACATGGATAAGGTGGTTACCATCTGTAAATATGATTACAGGTATCCTTTTATAAAAGCAAACAAAGGAAAAATGGGGTTGCTGGGAGGATAACTTGAAATTATCCCAAAGGAGACCTAAAGCGTTACTAAAGGCTATTTTTTTATTAAGATAACAAACATGTTATACTTACCTGTTCTGTGCAATGGTATTGCACAGAATGACCCTGAACATCCTCTTCTCAGGTTCTCCGCTGGCACTGTTTGTTCCTCCTCTTTAATGTCTGCCCCCATAGCAAGCACCATAGAATAAGCATGTACAGTATGTAGCCATTGCTATTGGGCAGATATTTATACATCCACGAGCATCATACCCCCCTCTTCCTTTTGTAACATATGTTAAGCTGGCCAACTGTATCAAGCTGTATTCTTGATGCAGATGACTAATATAATGTATTCGGCAATATGCTGAACTAAGATGGTAGTTTGTTCGCATTGTGCATTGCATATACCGGTAGTTATATCACTTTCATATAAAAGGAAGTTAACTATGCAACCTATGTGTATGTGTCAATATGTGAAATCATATCTCACCAACTAACCTATCTTTACATTAACAATAAAAAATAGACCACACGAGGAAAGATTTGTTGGTCTATAACAGCAATGGGCAAACTACGGCCCGCGGGCCATATACGGCCCGGAGGACCTTTTAATCCGGCCCGCGGATGTGGCTGTCAGGATGTGTGTAGGCGGGGCAGCGTGACGAACGTGAGGGAGGGAGCTAGGCTCCTCTCACAGTCCGCCCTGAAGACCGGAACGGCGCGGGAACACGGCGAGAGGGAACGCGCGGAGCAAAGGTAAGTGAATTGACACAGGGGGGACTTGGGGACTTAATATGGGGGATGAATTAATATGGGGAATGAATTACTATAGGGGGGATGAATTACTATAGGGGGGATGATTTGGGTGAATTACTATATGGGGGATGAATTACTATATGGGGGATGAATTACTATAGGGGGGATGAATTACTATAGGGGGGATGAATTTATATATGGGGAAATGAATTACTATAGGGGGGATGAATTACTATGGGGGATGAATTACTATATGGGGGATGAATTACTATATGGGGGATGAATTACTATATGGGGGATGAATTACTATATTGGGGGATGAATTACTATAGAGGGGATGAATTACTATGGGGGATGAATTACTATATGGGGGATGAATTATATGGGGGATGAATTACTATATGGGGGATGAATTACTATATGGGGGATGAATTACTATATGGGGGATGAATTACTATGGGGGATGAATTACTATGGGGGATGAATTACTATATGGGGGATGAATTACTATGGGGGATGAATTACTATGGGGGATGAATTACTATATGGGGGATGAATTACTATGGGGGATGAATTACTATATGGGGGATGAATTACTATGGGGGATGAATTACTATATGGGGGATGAATTACTATGGGGGATGAATTACTAATGGGGGATTAATTACTATGCTTACTATGGGGGAATATTACTATACTTACTATGGATGACACATACACATCATTCATCTACTCTTGGTCCGGCCCCCCCGGGTCCAATATATGAACCCATTGCGGTCCTCAAGTCAAAAAGTTTGCCCACCCCTGGTCTATAAGGACAGTTCCTCAAATTAAATATCAGTCTCAAATTTACAAAAAAATATACAAAACAATTATTTATCCCAAAATATAACTACTTATAGAAAGGCTATACATTTGAACCACTTAATCACCAGCCATCCAGGGCCTCAATTCCTGCCAAAAGAAATGTCCAAAAAGGAAAAAAGTGTAGAAAGTCCTGTTGAAAAGAACAAATCCTAGAATATCTAAGAAAAGAAGTCTTTCCATAATATGAAAATCTGTATCATCACACCATTCTTATATGGTTATTTCAAACTTTGATGTGTGTGTGTACCATTGAACCACATTCTCTTTCATATCTTCATATCACTCTCATACCTCTAGACCTTTTTGCTATCAATATAAAAGGGTCCCTGAAGTACATTTATCTGAATACTGTCTAAGAAAAGTGTCAGCAAGTATGCAATAAAGTTCAAACACAGATTAATTATTTTGACAGATAAGGGAATTTAAAACAAATTTTGAACCAGACAACTCAGTGATCAAGATATGAATTATCCAGTGAAAATTAATTTCTACAATGACAGCAGCTGTCTATTTATGTGATTAATATAGAGCCACCTCTATTGTCACATAAATTAAATGACTAAATGGTTCAGATTTGGCAGCAACAGTCTGGCTTAGTAGTTTTTTTGGTATATACACTATATTGCCAAAAGTATTGGGACACCTGCCTTTACAAACACATGAACTTTAATGGCATCCCAGTCTTAGTTCGTAGGGTTCAATATTGAGTTGGCCCAACCTTTGTAGCTATAACAGCTTCAACCCTTCTAGGAATCAAGGGAAAAGAAGAATGGCGCCACTCTTCTTCTTTTCCTTGATTTCTTCACTGGGTCCTCTCTAGCTCTCTACCGGCTGGCGGTCTTCAAGTAACGCAACTTTTAAGGACTGCCATAGATCTATAAGGACAGTGTTTTGGTTTACACCAGGACTTACATATTTTCATACTGTTCTTGGCTTATGCTTATCCTGCAGAAACCACTTCAGCCCTTTCTGAGTGTGCCCAATACCTGTTTTACTTTTTAACTCTTTTGGGAAGGCTGTCTACAAGGTTTAGGAGTGTGTCTCTGGGAATATTTGGCCATTCTTCCATTTGTGGGGTCAGGCACTGATGTCGGACGAGAAGGCCAGGCTCACAGTCTCCACTCTAATTCATCCCAAAGGTGTTCTATTGGGTTGTGCAAGCCAGTCAAGTTCCTCCACCCCAAACTCGCTCATCCATGTCTTTATGGACATTGCTTTGTGCACTGTTGTGCAGTCATTCAGGAAGGGGCCATCCCCAAACTGTTCCCACAAAGTTGGGAGCATGAAATTGTCCAAAATGTCTTGGTATGCTGACACCTTAAGAGTTCCTTCCACTGGAACTAAGGTGCCAAGCCCAACCCCTGAAAAACAACCCCACACCATATTCCCCCACTCCACCAAACTTGACACTTGGCACAATGCAGTCAGGCAAGTACCGTTCTCCTGGCAACCACCAAACCCAGACACTTCCATCGGATTACCAGAAAGAGAAGCATGATTTGTCACTCCAGAGAACACGTCTCCACTGTTCTAGAGTCCAGTGGCGGAGTGCTTTACACCACTGCATCTGATGCTTTGCATTGCACTTGGTGATGTAAGGTCTGAATGCAGCTGCTCGGCCATGGAAACCCATTCCATGAAGCTCTCTATGCACTGTTGTTGTGTTAATCTGAACATCACACGAGGTTTGGAGGTTTTTAGCTATTGACTCTGCAGACAGTTGGTGACTTCTGCGCACTGTGCACTTCAGCATGCGCTGACCCCTCTCTGTCATGTTACATGGCCTACCACTTGGTGGCTGAGTTGCTGTTGTTCCTAGTTTCTTCCACGTTGTCATAATACCACTAACAGTTGACTGTGGAATATTTAGTAGCAAGGAAATTTCACAGATGGACTTATTGCACAGGTATCATGCTTGATTTCACTGAGCTCCTGGGAGTGACCCATTATTTCACAAATGTTTGTGGAAGCAGTCTGCAAGCCTAGGTGCTTTATTTTATACACCTGTGGCCATGGAGGTGATTGGAACACCTGAATGCAATGATTTGGAGTGGTGTCCCAATACTTTTGGCAAGATAGTGTATCTTAACCCCTTTGGAGTGGGTATATGTGGCTAGAGAGGGAGCAGTCATAGAATAAGGCATTCTTGTCCTAAACCTTTCTTTGACTGATGTTAATTATACAATGTGAAGATTTTTTATATTTAAGAATATGCCTGCTGACATAATTGGATGTCTTGGGACATGCATACCAAACGAAACAGAGATTTGTTTGTGAAATAAAGTGGAAAATATGTTTAAGAAGATATTTTGCTGAGAGTGCAACACTCCATAGCCAAGAAGGTATTATTGTGAGCCGTTGTAATGAATATTAGGTGCGTCACTCTGTTGTATCCTGAGTGATTACGCATTGTCATATTGCAGTTGTGATCTGCAATACCATAGCAGACCACAGGGTGGCAGGGTGAACAGTGGGAATCCAGAAAAGCAGCTGAGGATATTTATAACCAGTTGGACTTCTAGAATTGGTGAGATTTAAGAATAGTAACAGGATGACCTTCAGAATGAATGAGACATGGAAGGGCTGTGCAGTGGTCAGACCAGGGGGATAGAAGTATGAGCATTTGAAAAAAACAAAAAAAACAAGTGTTTTTAATTGTGCAACAAATACATACTTTAGGTGACTTAAATTATTACACAGTAAATAATACATGACAAAAAATATAATTTGAATCTGATGTGTGATTTGAGAACACAAAAATTATGTGGTTAATTTGCCTTGCAACAATGAATATTTATTTCTCTAAGTATGTTCTGGTTCATGTATAAAGTCAGAAATCGGACACATGATGGCCAGAGCCATATTTCCTGTGTCATGAATGGGCTAGCAAGGTTCCAGTAATGGGCCCT